CCATCCCCGCCTCTTCGACCTGTTTGTTTCCTCTCCACCTATCCTCTCCTCTATCCATCTTCTATCCGCCTCCCACTCTCTCCCTATTTATTTCAGAACCCCCTTCCCCTCCCCCTTTTCTGATGAAGAGTCTAGGCCCGAAACGTCAGCCTCTCTGCTCCTATGATGCTGCTTGGCCTGCTGTGTTCATAAAGAGAACTCAGGTTCATTTTTGGGTGGGTTGTTGAAGCAGACATCTGTTTTCGAAGTAATCTAATTGTATACTGTATATAAACTGTATACCTCCTTACTGTCATTTTATTTTTATTGTCAGACCTGTATGTGGAATAAGGGGCAAAACTCTGATTATTAATCTGCCTGGTAGCAAGAAAGGTTCACAGGTAGGAGTCATCATTACTTCTATTGTCTCTGTACCACAAATTGTGGCCCTGTTTTGTATTAAACACAAGTGTTGTGAATGCAACTAATTGAGCTTCCTTTGTGTTCTCTTATCTCACCCTCTGTTGTGACCGTCTTCGCTCCCCAGATAACATGCAATGTTTATATATCTCTGTTATGTTTATCTGCTTCATTACATATCTGTTTTTCTGTGGTAAAGTTCTTATTTAAAGCGCAACAAAAAATAGACTGAGTATTTAAACTATAAAATCAGTTCTCCTGTTTAGTGCTGTGGAATATTTTTATGATCTCAGTCAAGACCAGCAATTTGTTTTTAAAAGAATGAAATCCAAATCCTCATTGTTTACTGAAAGAATGAACACAAAGATTTCACAGTTTAAAACAAAAGCATTACAGTCGAACAAAGCAAACACAAAATTTTAGGTAACTATGTATATTCTAAAATTCTGAATTAATATTCATTAAACATGAATTAAAAGCCAAGTTGCAGTTGATTATTTAACAATAAGTTACACATTAAATAGAATTTAACCAAAGACCAATCTTAGGAATTGGCATGGCAATCCCCTCAGCATATACTATCACCAATGTCACTCAAAGCATCCTTCAAACCTTGTCTTCTTCACAAAGAATTTCAGGTCCCCCTCTTGTGGGATTTAGCCTGATCCCCAGCTAACAGCAGCCCACAACCACTGTGAATCTGTGGGCCTGCTCTTCATCAAATGTGTTGATGGCGTACAACCACCAACTTCAAGTAACAGGAACAATTGCAGCAACTGTGTTTTTGGCTATTCCCAGCTTCTGGATCTAGCCTGTCTTCTTCAGATTGTCTGCATTGTCCCACTGGGATCACCAGCTGGGCTCCAATGGTTCTCTGCCCTTTTGGTTCACCCTGTTGCAGTCTCCTCAGAGGTTTTGATTTCCAATCGCAGTTTCAGTCTTAGTTACCTGAGAAAATGAGAGGGTCACTTTGTTTTCTTATTTTGCCTTTTCAATTTCCTTTATCATTTAGGGTCTGTGTTAAAATAGATATTTGAAACCATGAATCCCATTACAATATCCTTTAATAAGCCACGACCATGAATTTCGTGATCTTATGAACAGGAAACCCTCAAAAAATACTAATAGTTACAACATTACAAATATGACAAAAACACACCTTTGCATTCTGTAAAACCATTGCTTGTTGCAGACTGAAGGTGGTAATGTTGTTTTGAGTTTCTCTTGCTTTTTTAATTTCTTAAATTGGGTTGACACAGTAAGCTCTGTTAGCAATCCTGCATGTTGACTGAGGTTTATATTTTTTGATCATTTTTAATCTGACTTTTGCATTATGTGCAGGAATGCTTCCAGTTTATTCTTCCTGCCCTACCTCACGCTATTGACTTATTGCGGGATGCAATTGTGAAGGTGAAAGAAGTTCATGATGAGCTGGAGGACCTCCCATCTCCTCCACCTCCATTGTCTCCACCCCCTACTACCAGCCCACATAAACAGACAGAAGACAAAGGAGTTCAATGCGAAGACGAAGAGGAAGAGAAGAAAGACAGTGGAGTAGCTTCAACCGAAGAGAGTTCATCCTCGCACATTACTGCAGCAGCCATTGCAGCCAAGGTAAGAAGCCTTGCACTGAACAGGGGTATTCATACATATAGAATCAAACCTACCTATTTCATTGTTACCCATCAAATCATTTTTGCTTGTTTTTCTCCAGTTGCCTGTATTTTCCTGTCATAGTGCTGATAGTTGTGTTGTACATCAGAACTTCCAACTTGTACACAGTCCCGCTCCTGTCATGGCTAAAGGTGGTAAACCTGTCCCTGGTTTCATTGGTCATCACTCTCATACTGCCATCAGTGCAGGAGAGCCGGTAAGAGACACCAAGAGGCATTAAAAGTAAACACTTGGCACGACATCGTGCTACTGTGAGGAAATGAACCACTTGCACTGATTTTATTGTTTCAATTAGACTTTAGCCATTTAGATTATACTTTTCAACATATTCATCTTGTTAAATGGTCATCAAATTATGTATCTTCATAATTGTGATTGTTTCCCATTGTTCTCATTGACTTCATGTGACTCATTCACTAATTTATTTCTCATTTGTCACTCAGCACCCAACATAAATATATCTTTGTACATAAGAGGTACACTTTTTTTCATTGCTTGACTAAATGACTAAATGCCTTCCCTTTAGGACAGCCTGCGGGATTAAATATTGAGTGGTAGAAATGTTAAGCTAGATTTAAGTAGTTGGTAGAAAAATAAAAATACCCAAAAATGCAATTTATAAGCAATGCAGTAGTTGTTACAGACACAGACTATAAACATAAAAGTTGTTTGAAAATATAAGGCAAAACACAGCTTTTTATTTCTCATAGTTCTGAATTTGTCAGGATACAAATTAAAAATGATTATGGAATTTATAAAGTTGTTGATACAAAAACTACAGGAATGCTTAGGCGTTTGGTCTGTGACAGTGTGTACTTCTCACAGAAGTTAATATAGATTTTCAGTTACCTTTGAATTAGAATTAACTTTTAGAGAATTTTGTTTGCAATTATGGGGGATGAAAAAGACCTGACTGATTTTCAAAATGCTAACTTTTTTTAGACGTGTTTCAAATTTGCTTTGATAACTGCAACATTACTTTTGAGTATATAAGTTGCCAGTAATATCTGGAACAGATCAGAGAGTATTTTGTATTGCTGATTGTTAAATCTCGACCAACTGAAGTGAGCCCCACCAATCGCAGTTTATTTTTAATGTCTTTATCATTACTGCATTAATCTTTGTCACAGACATTCGTAAATATTTCAAACAAACTTCTAATGGATATCTAATTTCTTTTTAAATTAAAAATTCCAATTTGCACTGCATGTTTATTTTGCCTTTTCAATTTCTATGAAGATATTAAATTAGTGGATCCCAATTCAAAAATGGTATAAGCCACTGCACAAAACGCTGATGTTTAGGAAAACATACTTTGCAGAAGTGATCGCTGCTGCCATATTAGTGCAAGTGATCAATTTCCAGAAGTTTAATGATACAGTAGAAATGTTTGGTACAATTTATCAATTTTAATTAATATATTTAATGATTGATATTATGTATGAAATTATTGAGCTTATTGTCCATTTATGTTACCATGACGCAGTAATGGAATTATAACATGTCCCAATCAGTCTATAATGTAGAGTTAGAATTATCAGTATGATGTTTATTAATGGAGAAGAGTTGGGGGATTGTAACATAAACCATTGCATTGAATTAAAAGTATTGTCTTTTAGTGATGCTTATTGCTTTAATTCTTGTCAACTTCGCAGTTTAGGAATTGGGCAACACTGAGTACAAGTGTAACAACTATCGGATTCGAAGAAACAGTGATAAATTGAGTTATTATAATTATTATAGTTACTGTTTAAAATTGACACTTGTGCCTTTGCATGTAAAGTGAAATACTATCTGATTCACAGTATGTTCCAAAAATAGGAGAAAATCCACTTTCAGTTTGCTTGTATTAAATACAAAGATGAATTGAACTCTAAGTGAATATTTGTTGTAATTTATTATCTTCAGCATTTTTTATACTTTCAGATCCCAGACTCAATCATTTCTCGTGGTGTCCAAGTCCTTCCACGAGACAATGCATCGCTGAGCACAACTCCATCGGAATCACCGCGAGCTCAAGCTACATCACGCCTGTCCACAGCTTCTTGTCCGACACCAAAAGTAAGTCATCCTCGGTGTATCCTGTAGAGTCTGTGCATTTAATTGTATAATTAAGGATTGATCACTTGTCCTAGAACAAAACAATGGTTGAGGATTGCCTCGAAAGCAGGAATACAATGCTTTGTAACTAAATTGAAATGACATCTTTAATAATAAAACAAAATTCAATTTATCTGAATTCAGAGCCCTTGCAAAGGAGCAAAAGTGCATTTTTATTTGTTTTCACTTAAGGAAAGCCACTTGGTATTTGAGAATTTGCATTACTTTAATAAAAAAAATTGGTAAGTGGGCTGACAATCTGACTTTATTTTCCACCTGAGTTAATGTATGCTGAGCTGTATTTTTAATTTAGCACAGTTTGACGTCCAGTGAATGGTACAATGCAAGTAAATCAATTTTCCTGGATTCCACTCAATAAAGTTTTGAACTAATGTATTCTGATTATGCAGAGCTCATTACCACCTAACTTCACAGATACCGTGTCGTTTTGCTTTTCCAAAAAGGTTATCTGAGAGCATGATAAAATTGTAGAATGTGAGGAAATAATTTGAAAAATTATCTCTTAAAATCTTACCTTGCTAGGGCTGAAAAATGTCTGACCAAATATTATACACAACTCTTGAAGTTCAAATCAGCAGTGTCTGGAATTATAAACGAGGCTATGTGAGAAATTCATACCTCGCTAGAATAGTTCTGATGTGAAAATTAGCCATTTGACCTAATGTACCTCAGTTCAGATCTTGGGAGGGGTATGTAGTTGTGATTGCTGATTTGTCCTCTCTCTTTGTGTCCTGATTTCTTAGCTTAGCACTTGCTTCTTTACAGTAAGATAAGAGGCAGAGACCTTTTCTTACAGCAGAGATGTCGTTTATGTGTCCACCCTGTACTTGTCTATCATACAATTGTCGTAGAAACCTTATACTCAATGATGCGCTTAAGTGCTCTTTCTTTTCGGAACCAGTATAGTGGCTGTAACAAATTCATATTGAACAGGAAAAGTTGTGACTTTTTAATGCTGTACTTCTTGCTTTCTGTTGTACATCCCACTTCTGTGGGAGGAAGATGTGTGAAGGAAAAAGAAAAATTAAAAACCATGCAAGAATGATTTCTTCATTTCAACAGCATTGACAATGTGAATTCACAACTCACTATTTTCAGTGTAGTTGAGAACATTTTTAGTGGGTCAGCTTTTGAATTGCAGGTTTGTCTTCTCATTGTAAAACTGCTCGAACTAATGTTCCCTTTCACCATTCCCCCAGCCAGCCATGTTACACCACTGTAGATCCAGAATCTGGTATTGATGATTTGAGCGAGTATTATATGCCTGTGTAAGCTTCTCCAAGATCTTCAGGGTTGGTTACAACCCATCACCTCAGCTCTTATACATAAACGTGCATCATCAAGAAAAGTTGAAGGACCAGCCTCCACATCATCAAGTGTCCTCTTTTTGTGAACAATTTTATATCAATCATCTTATTTGTAACATCTTAGTTAGCCATGGATATCATTAATTAAGCTGTATTATCTGGCTGTAAGTTAATTCTGTTCACTGTATGCTTCCAAATCTCTGACAGCAATATGCACAGCGACACTTAGCGTTGACTCATTGAGTCGTTTTCTCATCATTCACCCAGTCAAAAAAAACATACTATTCCCTTAGTTTTGTAAAATAGCAATTAAATTGTTTTTATTTAAATGTATTGATTTTCAATTTGCAATCATGTCAGTAATGAGCTCCCTTTTAAAATCTTCCTTGAAGTGTCCGTCGCCTGATTTATTGTTGCCACACGTGTAGTTTTGGTTATGGTGCACGGCAATTAATTCAGGTGGCATAATTCCGCAGGCAGAATGCACTAACATTAATCTGGACTCTTGGGAGCTCTAAATAGCTTTTGATAAATCTGCCACCCTTCATGTGGTTACAGATAGATGCTACATTCATGATGTGAACATGAAATCTGGTTCCAAGAGGAAGTTAAACTCTCATGTGACAAAAAAGATAATGAAAAATACTTATATGCCTGGTTAGTTCTGTAATAAGCGGCAATGTTTGCTGGTTGCGACTAGTCAAAAATGTGGTGAATTCAGTCTTTACATCATATTTGTACTTAAATCTGTAATTATGGTTGCTGTTTCAGTTATTCCCCATGAGTCACATCATTGTTCAAGTTTTGAAGCCATGGTTTGAAAATATCAAATTCTACATTAAGATGCAGATTGTACATTATGTTTAATTGTTACTCTTGTTCACAAAAATTATATTGCAGCTGCCCTTAGGTCAAGCAGTCAGATCCAGTGAGGTGAGCTTTCCTGTATGAATGAAGCATTAATTGGATCAAATGAAATCAGAAAACCCTGAAAATAGTCAGCAAGTCTCGCGGCATTTGTGGAGTCAAAAACAGAGTTAACATCTCAGGTCAGCAACCTTTCGTCAGTTCTGCCAGTTCCGACAAAGGATCATCAACCTGAAATGTTAGCTCTGTTTTTCTGTATCCACAGGTACTGCTGAGTATTTCCAATATTCTCTGTTTTTAATTCCTGTACCCAGCATCTATGATCCTTTGCTGCCCTAAACTGGAACAGGTGATAATTGGAAATTCCAGAGGGCAGCATCACTTCCCACCCATGTCAAAAGAGCTAGAGTTTGATTGTTTTCCAGAGTTCTTCAAAGACAAATGTATGTGTTGAAACACATTTGGCCATGGTAACAACACTTAGTCAGTGATTGATTACCTGCTGTGACCACCCTTTCAAGTGAAACAGAAACCAAAAGGAACAGAATGAAAGACACAAAGGTTCAGTGCAAGCTTAATCCTTTATGTATCTTTACAAACCTTTATATGCCAGACGTGTTCATTATTTTATAGGTTCGCAAAGATTTCATCTTAGAGATTCAGGTCAAAAAAGAATTATTTAAAAATTGTGAGTTGTAAGTCATAATTTGTATGTTTTACAGTGCAGAATGCACTTCATGTTCAGCACAAGCAGTCAGGTATTCTCATAGCAATAATGTTACTTATAAATGGGTCTGAAAGCATTAACACTGAGGAATTTCATAAGCAGAACCTACTATCATATGGACTTGTGGGCAGAACAACTTACACTTTGAAAGAATGATACATGGCATTTGGTCCTCCTCAAACGCTCTATAACAATGTCTGTCATACATATGTAACTTGTAACAAGTGACTAAGATGTAGTAAACTTTATCCTGTTAACTTTAAGAGATTCGTCTAGTTAGGATATGGTTTTCCTCCACCACACGAGACAAAGCAGCTCCTGTAGTTTCCTACACTTGAAGAGGATAGTGGCAGCACCATCATCATAAACAGCAGCTCACAGAAATTCGTGGGCTGGTGTAACCAACCAGCAGTGACCAGTATGTAATATGTGGGCCGAACGTGAGTTGCGACTATCTTTAATTCAGTTCCTAAGTTTCCTTCGTTGTGTTTGTGTACGAAATAAGTTTCCACAACTTCAAGCTGTTTGAACTTTAAAACTAGAAAAGGGTGCTGTCTAACTAGTGGTGTTTGAAACAGTTAGGAAATGGCCTTTACAATTCCTTCAGTGCAAGCTGTTTTGAAACTTGTTCTCCTTCACTGTACATTGCTTTGCAGATCTCAGCCAGACACTCCCTCTGGCCTTGTCTGTAGTAACAAAGGTAATATTGTTGAAGATAATAAAATCATTCTGTGGCAGTACTGTATCTGAAGTGTATGGAGGGGTGTGGTATTGTGCAAGAGATGGGATGTTGAGACAGCAAACCCACAGAAGGTAGAAGATGGGGGTTAGAGAGAAAGCAGAGGAAAGAGTATCATAGGTCATAGAATCCCTACAGTGTGGAAGCAGGCCCTTCGGCCCAACAAGTCCACACTGACCCTCAGACATCCCACCCAGACACATCCCCTATAAACCCACCTAATCTACACATCCCTGAACACTATGGGCAATTTAGCATGGTCAATCCACCTAGCCTGCACATCTTTGGACTGTGGGAGGAAACCGGAGCACCCGGAGGAAACCCATGCAGACACGGGAAGAATGTGCAAACTCCACACAGACAGTTGCCCGATAGTGGAATCAAACCCGGGTTCCTGGCACTGTGAGGCAGCAGTGCTAACCACTGAGCCACCGTGCCACCCATTTTAATTATTGAATTCAAATTCTACCATCTGCCGTGGTGTGATTTGGACCTGGATCCCCAGAACATTAGCTGGGTTTCTGGAGTAATAGTCTAGTGATAATACCACTCTGCCAATCCCCAACCTCTAGACCAGTGAAGTAAGAAAAAATAACCTATTCTAATCTTCTCAGGCCAGGTTACATGCATATCTAAACAGACCTGAAATTCAAACTTGTGTTGACATTGTGTATCACAGAATGAAAGGATACAGGTCCACAAACCCAAAGTTGTACTTTTAGTGTTTTGTCAATCACACCATTGTTGGAGATGCCAGGAGGATGTTAAGCACTTCTGTACAGCGCAGGACAGAAACATTTTGTCTATAAAGATATCAGCAGGTTGTCAATGCTCTAACATTCATCCAAAGCTTCCAGAAATGGACGATCCATCTTGAAGAGAAGCTCACAGGGGCATTAAAAATATGTCTGTTGATTAACAGTCAGGGGATAATCTAATTGGGCAATGCAGAAAGTTTTTACTTTCCAATTAGCAATGCATCATGTGGACGGATGTATTGGGACACAAATCATGGGCCATAATGTTGTGTTTTGTGTTGAAACTTCCAGTTATACTTTCAACGAAAGTTAGCAATTCCAAGTTGTTTGGCAAAGGCAGTGAGAATCCTCCCTTAACATTTCAGTCCAGAAGGTGAATGCGACTGAGAGGGAAAATGAACTTTCGATCACATTGACTTTTTTAAAAAATCAAAGAAGTGTTACTTTCTTTGAGTATAATTTTCAAATGTATAAATGAGATATAAAAATCATGCCGAGAAATTAGCTATGTCCCCTTCATTTGAAGTGAGCTGGATTTTTTT